ATTTTTTTGGTAAGTTTTAATTAGCTACATCACTTTGATTTTTTTTTTTTAATTGTTTTTTTTTTATGCAGAGAATGCTTAGAGACATTCATGAATTCTGGAGATTAACTTTGTAAATTATGTGAGTGGTAAGCAGACATTGTGTGACTAGAGAAGGCATGCTTACAATTTTGGGAGTTTAGGTAATTATCCTGTTAAATGTGAACAAACGGGAGAAAAACATTATTCTGTAATTAGAGTTCTAGCGCAAACAAAACTTCAGTCATATAGTTCGTTCCAGTTCACTAATCACGTTTATTAAACATAGGCTAAAGAAGGAGCCAGCCTTGCAACTGTTGAAATATCAAAACTGAAGACCAAGGTTGATGATTTGGAGAAGGCGTTGCATCAGACAAAAGCCTTCCAAGCAGAAACTGAGAGAGAGATTGCATCATACCAGAGTGAGCTTGTTGGATTAAGGTATAAATGTTAAAATTAAAAAATAGAACATGTGGCTGTTGTTTAGAATTCTTCAGTGACCTCACAACCTGACGTAAAGCTGACACAAAATCAAAACTATGTATAGTTTAGCAGGAAGTAGGATAAGAATATTTCTGTATTGTGCGAAATCGACTTCCACAGGGTTGTCTTTGTTTGTGGTTGTCCTTGTTTGTTTATTTGACGATCTCTTTGTTTATGTAACATTTCAAGCAGTCTTAATTGAGTGTTTTCTGTTGGTGACTTGGATATATGCAACTACAGTTTAAGAATCTTATTTCAATACTTGGTATTGTATTCTTCTCAGTGTAATGATTGATATGGCTGAACATTTCGCCCCAGATGTCTTTTTTTAAAAGAAGTCTGAGGTGTTGCATATTTGGCCCAACTACATGTGGAAAATTGACTTCATTTCACATTTTAGCATTATTTTTGTAGTTTCAAGAGTCCATCCACTTCAGCACTGATCACATCTTGCATCATCTGTGATAAATGAATATTGTGACACTTTGGGCCTAATTCTGTGAATGCCTCATGAGATCTGCTTCAAAGAAGGCACTAGATGTTTTTGAGGGGCAGTCATTGGAGGCAGATCAAGATTTGGTCATGTTAGACTGCTGTTTCCTTCAAGCTTTTAAACTTGTGCAGATGATTGAAGTGCGAAAGCGTGTTATGATCAGTTCAGTGAAGATAATTTTGTTTGAGTTCGAGGCCAGTAGGCGGTATCCTAGTGCCTTACTGCATTTTATTGTCTGTAGTGCCATTTCTAGATCTCTAATTAAAATCTGTGTAAGATAATATCTGTTTTATACTAGAAGCTTTTGGGGAAGGAGGTGTAGATCAAAAGGCCCTCCCCACATTTACCTTTGCAAATATGAGAAAGTTAGCATGAAATATTCAAACCTGATTCTAACTTGTAGACTTAAACCAGTCTTTTTCCAATTTTTTCCCCAAACTTTCAAAACATATATTAAATTGAATTCAAAAGGATTTAAATTACTTTTATGCCCTTTGCGATATTGCCTGCGTGTGACAGCAGTTTCTGGAGATGTGTCATGTTTGTTTATTTCCATGTTCTGAGTCTAGGGTGTTCTTCAAACTTGTGTACTTGCATAGGGTAGATGGAGCTATCTTGAGCAGCGTTCTACACAGCTGCGACCTAGAGTTGCTTGGCTGCGCAAACTTATTTTTTAGGTAACTGAAACATTTATTGTGTTAACAGATGTTGGTATCTTTACAGCTAATGAAATTCTTTCGTCTCCAAGCCAACGAAGTAAATGTGACGTTATCACTTTCCAGGCTTTGTTTTCTATTTTACTTTTTTTTTCCCCAGCAGATGTTTTTAAACTGAAGTATGTATTGAGAATGTTCATTTAGTGTTCCATATTTGCATATAGCTATTAAAAAATACTATTATTTATTTCAGAAATAACAGTAAGTACAGCTTTATCCTTTTTATTGACTTGTACATAGTATATCATCATTTAACTTCTAGTCTAATGTTTTATGTTCAGAATGGAAAAAAAACTCCTCCTCTCAGAGACCCAGGCACTGCGAAATCAGTGTCAAACCACAGTTGCTGAGAAAGACCGACAGATTGCAGAACTACAGAAGCTGCAGCAAGACTTGGTCGTTAAGAAATCGATCTCCGCTGGCAGCAATTACCCAGTCAAGGTAAAGAAATTAAATGTAGTGGGAAGCATGAATCTACTTCCATCAGTTTATTGTATTAAATTTGCAGCCTAGTTCCCAAGAGAGAGCTATACAGCATATGATAGTGAAGTATGGAGGGCTGATGAGTGGATTACCATTGTAGCTACAACCTATTATCAGGGACACAATTTTAAAGAGGATCAAAAAAGAACTTGGTAGTTTACATTGACAACAGTTTTCAAAATTTCTGTGCTTGATGCTAACGAATTAAAGATCTAATAAAGTTAATTCTTCAGAACCTAAATAAATCTCTAATTACTGTAGATGAGAATAGCACCTAACTGGGAGGAGAAGGGAGAGAGAGGTGTTCCTAATGGAAATGTTCTTGTCCTTCCCCTGAAGCAGCTGGAGTTGGCTTCTGCCAGGAACAAAATACTAGATTTAGAAAGGCAGCAGCTGAGACTGGCAATTGATGTCTACTTTTGTAGGCTATCATTGAAGGTTCAAGGAAAGTGTTATCTTAGAATAATATTCTTATTTGTCTTTCCTGTGCTAATGGAAGTAAACCGTATTCCTTTTAATTTAATGAAAAACATTATGTTAGTTGGTCAAGTTTGTGTCTCGTATGCTCTCCATTTCCTGTGATTAAAATCACAAATAAAAGGTATTGAACAGTAAAGTCTGTTGGGTTATGGAATATTTTATGTGGTAGAGTCTTTATTTCATGTTTGTATGGGAAAATAGATTCCATAAAGCATTAGAGATGGCACACTTCCCTCCATTATTGGAAATTAACATCAAAATCTTGACCTGCCAGAGATAAAGAAGGCCAAAGCTATTGAATCAGTGATAAAGTTGGGTGTTTAGGTTTTTTTTCAGAATAGACTTTCAGGTTTAGATTCTAATTTACAAAATAGCTGTTCTTCTACAAGTCATGAATATCATACAAGACTAGTTTGAAAATAATTTTTGAAAGGTGTTTTATATTATTTTAAAATTTTTTCTTTTTTTTTTTTTGATTCACACTATTTGTAAATTAAAAGTTAAGTTGGGTTGCCTTTTCATGGTAACTTTTAATTGTTATTTTAATTGAAGTATGTAGGTTGAAGACACTAAGGAGAAAATATTTTTTCAATACAAAGACTCTTGCAAATGTGGTGTTAACTTGTGAGATGGAAATGATCTTGTGAAAAGGAAATTATTAGGTAGTCCATATGTATATTTAGTGTTGGAGTTGTATATTATTTAGAGAACTCCTATACAGTTTACCCTGAATATGCTAATACTTTTAAAGGTTTTAGAAACTGCCTCCCTTGCTGGAAGTGCAGATACACTGGAGGAAATGAAACATGTCTTAGCTGAGAAGAATCAGCTTCAAAATGAACTGCAGCGCTGTCTTCAGGAGATGCACCAGAAGGATCTGCATTGTCAACAGATTAATTCAAAGGTAATTTAGAACAACAGCTGTGAGCCTAAAGAGCTCATACAAATCTGAGCTGATGTCAACATAGAAATACTGCTAAATTGGCAGTGTCTTGTATGATTGAAAGTTAGTTTGCTTTAAAAAATATTCTTCAAAACAACCCTGTTGGCTCAGACTACAAATTGCAAACTACATGTCAGTATTGTCTTTCTGTCAGGCTTTCCTGGCTTGTTATTTGGCTGAGAGTCGTTTATTTCAGTCTGCATTCTGAAGACATTGATTGAGGCACTGCTGAACTTCTACTCAAAATATTTTTCACTGTAGACAGAAAGACATGTCTGTCTTAGCTGGAACAAGATTTTAGCTATCTCGTACCAATTTAAATACCTCAAAAATGTTTCCTTACAAATTTTTGAAGACTTTTGTGGCTGTTAAGATAGTAAGAATGTGTGTGTGTGTGTGCACATGTGTGTTTGTGTTCAGTTTTGTTCCCAAAAGTTTGTAAACAATCTTGGAAATTTCCTTAATGTTTATCTCTCTTGTGTGGTTTGGTAGTTAAAGCAAATTAGGTTTATGTTACCTTTCCTCTGACATTGTGTCTGTTTTAAGTCCTTCACCCAAACATTTTAGAAACTTTTAATGATTTTAACCAAACTTTGAAACAGGTGTAGAAATCTCAAGCTCTTGCAAATGAAGATGAGTGTTTGGCTACTGGATAGAGACCCAAATTACAGTCTGTTTTTCGAAAAGATGAAAACTTGACCGCTGAGCATACCTGGACTGCCTGGTGAACGTGTTTATACCACCAGGCTCTTTGGCTATATGCCTTGTCCTGAAGTAGCAACTAGGTATACTGTCTTTTGCCAGGTGGTGATATCTTAGCAAACACAGGGAGGAAGGCATTGTAGAATCATAGAATCATAGAATGGTTTGGGTTGAAAGGAACCTCAAAGATCATCCAGTTCCAACTCCCCTGCAGGCAGGGAAACCCTCCACTACACCAGGTTGCTCAAAGCCTCATCCAACCTGGCCTTGAACGCTTCCAGGGATGGGGCATCTACAACTTCTCTGGGCAACCTGTTCCACTGCCTCACCACCCTCAATGTATAATATTTCTTCCTTATATTTAGTTTCTGGTTTGGGCGTAATGATAAAAGAGAAATCAGTACTCAGGTTTCATTATTTCCACTGCTCGTAAAACAACTAGTTAAATCTTACCAAGCTGTGACCTTGCCAAAAAGTTGATGCAATTTTGAAACTAGAACTCAGTTGTTTTCAACAGCAGGTCTCAAATCTGTAGTAATTTTCTGGAGGAGATAACTCCTAATTTTTATTTGTTTAAATGTTTATTTCTTTCAGGTTTTGCAGTCAACAGAAGAGAACGCTATCTTGTCTGCCCAGTTGAAGACTCTTTCGCAGACTCTAAGGGATAACCAGCTTCATTACACTGACTTGCAAAATCGTTATATAAGACTGGAGAGGGAATATCAGACAATGCAAGTAACATCTTTCCAAGGCACTGTTCAGGTAAACACGTATGTGGAAATATATTTTTTTTTCTTC